CATTGGGACGGGAGTGCAGAGGGTGGCCAGCAGGTGCTACACAGGTGGAAGTCCAACATTTGATTTACGACAGTTCTTGCCCGGATGTTCTGATTATCTAAACAGATGGTTCGGTGTTGAGAGGGAAGAGAAGTGCCTGGGGGTTAGTAGCGAAGTCAATGGGAAATCTTTAGTACAGGGCAGCCTAGCATATGATACCACAACATCTAGCATGAAATAGAGGTGGAGGCGGTAACTGCAGCTTTCCAGTGGCTAGAGAACAAGATACATACACATGTCATAATTGTAACAGACTCTGAAAGCATGCTGAGAAAGGTGAAGACAGGGATGCTTTGAGCAAAGTGGCAAGCTTCACCGGTAAGGTCACGGGTAGTAAGCATACTTTGGATCTTTTCTCCAGGCCATGCTGGTGTGGTGGGTTGATGCATGACAAGGAAGATGTTTTCAGGGCCCTTTGGGAACAAGCAATGGAGTCAGAAGCAAAACAAGATCATTATGGCCTAGAGAGAATGAGGCACCTGGGTGTAACCAGGTGGTCTGGCCGGCTCATTACACTCAGGGGAAAGGCAAAACGGATATACAACCAGATTATGACCGGTACCATTAGTATTGGGACTCTGCGATGGCTGCTAAAGATGAGGACAGAGCACGCATGGGAATGCCCCGAGTGCTGTGATGTCAGTTCTTGACTCAACTCAACTCCACTCTCTGGGCTGAAGTTGATAAGTGTTGCCAAAATATTTCACTTATTCTATAGCTTTCTTTCATTCCCAACTTTGTCACAAACTCATCATGAATTCAGTTGTGCTTCCATGAAATGTATCCCATTCTTCTTCATGTTGACAATTCTAGGGCTTCTTTGTGCCTGACTTTTTGCTTGCTCATCTCTCATGCTTTCCTATCAGAAAATGGCGAGTGGCCCATTGTCTCACTACTGGTGGTCTCTTATCCAGTTATGACCGCAACAGCTGTTTGTTGTAACTGTTGCCTTCATTTGATGATGAACTGCAATTCTAGTGGCAGCTGTTTGTGTTAGCTGCATTATGCACTGAATGTGTGTGTGTGTGTGTACTATTTGCCTTGCAGACAATGCAGTCTGTGTTAATGTTTTCACACACGGGGACAGTGACTGACATTTTTTTTTTCCGGCATAGGAATGGGGAAATTACATTTTGACCTGTCTTCTGTAAAGCTGAAACTGCAATTAACTCTTTGAGTCCCAAGGAACGCATCATCCGTTCATAAGTTGCCACCTAGAAGCCCAAAGAACGCATGATGCGCTGATTTTATGACTCTCTTTACTAACCCTGGGCCTGTGATGCTAAACCCCCTCGGACTCAAAAGTTAACTGAAAAATTCTTATGTATCCAAACTGGGTAACCAAAGTTTTTGTGACAAAGACGGTGTCAGTTGTTGACATCTGGCATGCAGCTTTTCATGTCCTTGCAAGAATTGTAAATGTAAACAATCTAGTTTTCATTTTGCCCTATTTGTAGTAAACGAAATAAAAAAGGCACAGTGGCAAGCTTCGCTTCATAGGTCAAAGATGAAGAGCATTGTCAAGGTCTTCTCTGGGTCATGCCAGTGTGTTGGACAGACTGGCTAGCTGTCCACAACTTGGTGGAATCCTGATGCATGATAAGGCTGATGTGGTTCAGGTTTTATGGGAGAACATGTACAATCTGGAACAGCAATTTGGTCATCAGACTTGTGAGACTGGTGCCACACAACCCCATCATGTGATACGGTTAATGGCTTATATCAGCCTAAACCGAGCTGGCGGGGGATCTCAGTTAGTGGCCTCAACAGATGCAGTGTTCAGCCTCTGGCTCTCATCAGCCCACTACCAATGCATCAATAATAATGCCCATTGACCGATGGTAGGGAGGTTAAGCAGCCATGTGCATGATGTGACGATTCCTTGGTGAGCCCAGGACCACAGTGTCATGTGTCAGCTCTGCATTTAGGGAATCCTCCTTGAATGGTAAGGAATGTCCATGTACTGTCAGTGCCTTCCCTTGAGGCCTATGTCATGTCCCAGGAAACCAAGCTGGATGCAGTGGATACATCCATTGATATCTTAAGAGATATTACACAGCAAGGCCCTAATCTCTCCCACTGTATGACTCTCACACCACTATCTAAAACCTATCAGAAAAATCTTTTCCCAAATGGCCTGCCATGAAAGTCAAACCCTGGCATGCAGTGGATTGTGAAACATGTTCATAAACTTTCAAGCCACATGGCCACTGGAGCCTGCCTTAGTGCCATGCTAATTCAAACAACCTATTTCTGACTCTGTAACCACACAAGTGTTAAAATATGTGGAAATATTCATAAATATTTTTTACTGTATATCTTCTAGCTGTCACATAGCTGTACTTCTGACAAGCTCTCACACACCCACATTTCCAGCTGCAATTGATATTTATCATCATCACTAATTTCCACTTCTGCTGACAAGTGTTGTGGGGAACAGTTTGCGATCCATTGCTTGATGGGCAGCAATGACTATTGTCATTTCATGTGGATGTAGAAACTCAGTGTCATAAATCCATCTTCTCCTAGACGACCTCTTGCTTGTTCACATTAGATCTTTTCATGTGTAGCACCTGCATTGATAGTTGTTCTGGCTGCATTCTTACTAGATGACCAAACCATTTGATTTTTTCTCAATGAATTTGCTGCATGGTGTTGTTCCTACAGTCTGATTTCATTTCTAACTTTGTCTCTGATGGTTTAGTTGGCGCCTTTTCTCAGGCATCTCATTTCACATGTGTTAATTTTATGTAGGTTACCCTTTGGTAATGTCAAGTCTGGCATTGTTAGCATATTGTTGGTATGAATATACTGTTATAATCTGTTTCTTGACACTCATACTTATGTTTGGATGTCTTAATAAGGGTGTCAGTTGGTATATAAGTGCACTGACTCGTTGGCATCTTGTTTCTATTTTCCGATCTATTCTCCCATCCTTTGAAAATATACTTCCAAGATATTTTAATTCTTTAACTTGCTTCAGACAAGTAACATTCAACCCTATAGGAACACTAGGAATTCTGATCTTTATCTAAAAGACAATTAACTGAAACACCAAACACAAAGCAGTTCATACCAAATCTTGTTTATTTTACTGACACTGCAATTCTCCTGTAGACACATCAACATGGCAAACTACAAAATATAAAGGGAGGAAGGACAGAGATACAACCTCACAAAGCAGGAAAAAAATTTGACCATAAAAACAAAAACAAAATCAGCAGGGACTCCTGTCACATTGGCACAAACTTACTTGCTCTTCTTTTATTCTTTCTGCAAGTTCATTTTATTTTTTTTTGCTGATTTTCTAAAGATGGCAAACTCTAAAATATGGCTTAGTCAGTACAATTTCACAATCTGAGCATGCACACCAACACCATTAACTGTGGGACAAACGAAAGTACACTGCTGTGACAGTCAGATCTTGAAAACTCATACCATGTCAACTTGTACATCTTTCTGGTGGACAATAAATGTCTGGAGATACCAGCAGTATGTAGAAAGCCACAAATAGATCATCTACAATAGCCACACACACACAAATTCACATACTAGCAAAGATACATTTAAAACAATGTATAAAAAAAATGTCTACTTTTCTAAATGACTATACCTGTGTGTCAAGGAGGCAATAAATAAAAAATAAAAAAATGGCAGATATAATCATGTATTCAAACATACTAGCAAATCACTTATTTTCTACCCAGAGGAGCAGAAACTATCTATGCACCCCAGAAGATCACAACAGCTAGAAAACTGAATGCCACTGTACTGAACAATAGCAGACAATGCTAATGTTACAAGCCACACTTAAGTTTTATTTACAGGCATTGAAAATCATGACTTCCCACACTTAATTTCTCTACTAATTTATGCCTAGATAAAAAAAAAAAAGCAGACTTGTGCAGTGCTCCATCTCTAGTTTCATTGGTCTCCCAGCAGTCATAAAACTCATGCCCTACCTAGACAAATGTTTAACCTCCTCTTGCTCTAGTTATTTAATTCTTAGTCTTAGTCGCGGTTTCAACTTCACTGTAAATGAGTTTTCCCATACTTGTTCCATTCCTGTGCCAGTGCATATCAAATAAATGTCCCTTAGTCTCATTTGAGAAATGGGTGAACAAACAATTAGTCCCGGAACAATCTAGAAATAAAACAAAAAAGGTGTCAGCCAATTAAACTTGAACACATACAGAATGGAGCCATGAAGGTAATTCTCGGATGTACAAGAGATACTCCAGTAGTATGTATGTGATATATACTTTTACTGCCCACTATTTAACCTTCTGTGGCATAATTAATCTCCTGGTGTTTGACAACTCCTTTTAACCCAGTTATAAAACTGGCGACTCAGTTATGAAACACTTTATGGCCCAGTTATTAACTCTTTACGATTCAGTTACTAAATTCTTTAGGACTCAGGTTATAAAATGTGGTGACTCCATTTTGAAACTCCTTACGGCCCAATTATAAAACCACTGACTTAGGTTATAAATTTTGACTTATGTATTTGCCTCCTTACAACTCAGTTACTAAACTCCTGGGAGAGACTTACAGGTCATGTGTGACATGTGTGCATGTAGACTCAAGTCATTCACCTTCTATCACAAGAAGTTGATATTACCAACTGTGACAATATACTTTCACAAAATGCCACAATATATTTACCTCCTAATACATTTCAGATTATCTTTGTTTCACTATAAGACTTTTTTTTTAAACATGGAGATTACATTAAAGATTCCCATAACAAACTAACATCGTCAATGTTGTATCAGAGACAGACAAGATTTCAGTTACCTACCCTCGCTGTTCCTTGACAATTTCACCAAATATTTTCTACCAATGTGACTCCTTGTGAATATCATAATCTTCAAAACTGTCCCATATAGATATTACTTGTCTTCAATATATTGCCTTCAAAAGCAGCAGGAGATGCCACAGAGAGCCACTGAGTTGCACTAACCCTGTGCATTGACTATTTCCAGAAATTCGGGTTTCAGAGATGCTCCACCAACTAAGAATCCGTCAATGTCTGGTTTCTTGGCTAACTCTGCTGCATTTGAGCCTTTCACAGATCCTGTTCAGAAAAAAGAAGTGAAGCATTAGAAAGATTTCAATGGCAACACAGAAATCAAACCTTTTCTTTTCCCACAGGTTCTGTTCTTGTGAAAGACCTGAAGCATAAGATCTCTAGACAACAAACCCAGTGGAGCAGAGTTGAGTTGAGTCAAGAATTGACACTACTGCACTCGGGGCATTCCCATATGTGCCGCATCATGTTCAGCAGCCAGCGCAGTTCCAGTACTGATGGTACAGTCACAATCTGGTTATACATCTATCTTGCCTTTTCTCTGAGTGTAGTGAGCTGGCCAGTCCCTCTGGTTACACCCAGGTGCCTTATTCTCTTAGGCCATAATAAACTTGTTTTTCTACTGATTCCGTTGCTTGTTCCCAAAGGGTCTTGACCACATCTGCCTTGTCATGTATCAATTCACCACTCAGTGGTGCAGATCCAGCCAATCTGTCTACCTGTTCATTACCCACCACACCGGCATAGCCTGCAGAAAAGATCCAAAGAATGCGTACTACCTGTGACCTTCCCAGTGAAGCTTGCCACTCTGCTCAAAGCATCCCTGTCTTCACTTTTCTGAGCATACTTTTTTCTTCTTCTTCTTCTTTGCGTTCGGTTTCGTATGCTCAGATCAGACTATCAGGTGGGTTGCCTCTAAAAACTCACATGTCAGCACCATATCCTTCATGGTTCCCCATAGCTTGCTCTGCACTCTTTGCTCTTGAAGCCAGGTGTCTTTTCGAAGTTGTAGATAGAGTGGGCAAGTCTGCAGAATGTACTCAGGAGTTTGTGGTCCTGTTTAACATGCACACCGTGGGGACTGTACAATTTTTATTTTATGCATGTGGTAGTTGAGCCGGCAGTGTCCTGTTCATGGACGGAAAATTGTTGTATGTTGCTTTCTGTTGAGTCTGCTGATGAAGTTATTTGGATGTTTACTGTTAGTTTGTGCGCTTTATGATTACTTGTATTTTCCCTTCTCAGAATCATCACTGGAGGTATGAGAAGCACACCAATTAATGAGCTGGAGGCAACTTGTGGCCTCCAGAGCTTAAGCCTTCGAAAGGAAGAAAAGGTGCTTACCCTAACAGAAAAATTTAAACGCATGAACAACCACCCCATGCACAGAATAGCAAATAACTTAACAAAAAACAGACTAAAAAGACAAAGCTTTCACCATTTATTAAAACTGTACTACAAAAAAAAAAAAAAACAGTGACATCCTTTCTAAAGATCCTTCAACATGGGAAATGATCCAGGCATCCAACATAGACTTCAACCTAAATACACAGTCACAACAACAATTCCAGGCATAGACAGAAAGGCTGAAGAATGTGACCTAGTACTGCGTGCAAAGACCCTGGAACATGTCTGCAACAGTTATCCAAAACCCGAATGGACACACGTATACATCGATGGATCATTGGAGGGATCAGACAAAAATGGAGGAGCTGGATCGGTCATCATGCTGCAAGATGGGACCACAGTAGGAACGTCATGCGCCTCCGGAAGACTCTCAACAAACTTCAGAGCAGCAAGCAATTATTGATTCAGCCAAAGTGCTCAAGGAAAGAAAAATTAAAAACAGCAAAATTGTTTTCCTTTGTGACTGCATGTCAGTCCTCCAGGCGACTCATTGGGATCCACGAGACAACATAGAAAGAGAACTGACCCATCAGCTAAACAAACTCACAGAAAACAATCAAATCGTTCTCCAGTGGATCCCGGCTCACTGCGGCATACCAGGAAATGAGCTAGCAGACAAACTTGCAAAAAATGGAACAAAGAAGAAACAACACGCCCATTCATTGTCATTACCAGAAATCAAAACACTTATCAAAGGAAAATACCAAGGATTGTGGAGAGAACAAACCAACAGTAAACATCCACAAAACCCTATCAGCAGACTCAACAGAAAGCAACATGCAACGATTTTCCGTCTACAAACAGGACACTGCAGGCTCAACTATCACATGCATAAGATAAAGATTGTGCAGTCCCCACAGTGTGCCTGTCAGACAGGACCACAAACACCTCAGCACATTCTGCAGACCTGCCAACTCTACCTGCAACTTCGAAAAGACACCTTGCCTCAAGAGCAGAGTGTGCAGAGCAAGCTATGGGGAACCATGCAGGACCTGCTACTGACATGCGAGTTCATAGAGGCAACCCACCTGATGGTCTGATCTGAGCATACGAAACTGAACGCAAAGAAGAAGAAGAAGTATTTTCCCTTGATAAGTGTTCTGATTTCTGGAAATATCAATGAATGGGTGTGTTATTTCTCTTTTGTTCCATTTTTTTGCCATTTATGCCTCAGTGGGCTGGGATCCACTGCAGAACAATTTGATTGTTTTCTGCGAGTCTGTTTCGCTGGCTGGTCAGTTCTCTCTCTCCATCTTGTCTGGCAGATCCCTCTAAGTCGCCTGGATTACTGACATGCAGTCACAAAGGACAATTTGCTGTTTTTAATTTTTCTTTCTTCAAGCACTTTGGCTGAATCAATAATTGCATGCTGCTCTGCTCAGAAGTATGTTGAGTCTTCCGGAGGCGCATGACGTTTCTACTGTGGTCCCATCTCGTAGCAAGATGATCAATCTAGCTCCGTTTTTTTCCTGCTGCCTCCAATGATCCATAGGTGTATATGTGTCTGATCGGGTTTTGGATAAGAGTTTTAGACATGCTAAAGGGTCTTTGCATGCAGTACTAGGTCACATTATTCTACCTATGCCTGGAACTGTTGTTGTGACTGTATAGTTAGGCAGTAGGCCTATGCTGTATGCCTGGATTGTTTCCCACGTTGAGGGGTCTTTAGAAAGGATGTCACTGTTTTTAGCATAGTACAATTTTGATTGATGGTGAAAGCTTTGTCTTTTCAGCCATTGTTTTTTTGGTTAAGTTGTTTGCTATTCTGTGCATGTGGTTGTTGTTCATGCGTTTAAACTTTTCTGTTAGGGTAAGCACCTTTTCTTCCCTTCGAAGGCTCAAGTTCTGGAGGCCAGAAGTTGTCTTCAGCTCACTGATTGGTGTATTTCTCATTCCTCCAGTGATGATTCTGAGACCAGTGTTCTGTATTTTGTCCAGTTTGTGTAGGATTGATTTGGCTGCAGCGGAGTATGCTCCCATAGCATACTCCAGTTTTGGTGGTACGTATCCTGTGTATACTTGTCGTACAGTGATCATCTTAGAAGGATTTGTACACAGAGGACATGACAGAGTAGGCTGTGATCAGACTTTACACACATGAGTACTATCTGTTGTGTCCAACGATGGAAAACTTTGTTCTGGACCTTCTTTGTCAAATAGTTTCTGTTGCATGTTGGGTCAGAAATCAGCATTTTTGTGTTTTTTTTTTCAATTTTACTCCTGTAGTTTATCTGTTCACATTGTTTTCTTTAGCTCTAATTTATAACTTCACCATTTTGAGCCTTGTTACTGTACACATCTGATCTTGTTATGATTCCTTCTGTAATTGTTGGAATGTAATTAACACTTGTGTAACTCAGTTTTTACAACAACAACAAAATAGTAAAAGTTCAGTGCCATCTCCACAAGGAAGGTTGGCTACAGCATGGTCTTTGGGAATATTACGTGGTGAGGCTACAATCTCTTCCACAGTGAGATCCCGTGCCTTTGTCCTAAAACCAAGAAAATTATTTGTTTATTCGTCTACCATGGGATCGAACCCTAGTATCTGAGGACTCAAAACTGTTAACCGCATTCATTAACCTCCTAGCCATAAAGCCGTACACACATACAAAAAAAAAAGAAAAAAGTAACAGACATACATTAATCACCACACCATTAAAAAAAAAAGTTGACTTGACTGCGTGTATCGACCAGTTGTTAGGGCAGTGTAGGACAGGGGTTTAGAGCCTGAGAATTGAAGGCTACATGGCTACTGCACTCACCACAGTGCAGGTTAGGATATTATTTTCTTCCCTGGTAGAAAAACCCATCACATTACCTAGGATTTGAACCTGCGACTCCCAAGTCAGCACCCAGTGTTCTCAACCAGCTGTCGTCTACTTAAATCATAATAAATCTAAACAGTAAAATTCGCAGCAATGATTTAAATCATAATAAACACAAAAAGGAACATTTGAACCAGTCTATCATCAGTCAGCAGGTTCTTTATAAAACAACGTTCTCATCAAGACACACCTGAAGGTCCGTCTTTAGCAAATTATCTAGCATCTTCACCTGAAAGTCCGCCTTTAGCAAATTATCTAGCATCTTCAATGTCTTGTATCATCCACATCTGCGGAGGTCAGCCTCTGCCTCATTTTCCGGAAATGAAGGCAACACCATTTTTTTCCAGGTTACCACGACGTTTAATATGACCAAAATATCCCAGTTTTTGAGACAGAAGGCTGTTTATGAGTCAGTTCTCATGTAGGATGTCAATGTTTTTCCTTTCCTTGGTCCATAGTATTCTAATAAGTTTAAGATTGCTTTTCAGCTTCTCAATCTTCTAGACTGCCAGGGAAAGTGAGCACCCTGCTCTTTGATGTGTTGGCTAACAGCAGATAACAGGCAGAGGTGTATGCACTAATGACTAAAGTAGTACTTCATGACAACTGCACAGGAGCGATGATGCTGACAACAGAAAGATATATACATACCACCATAGATGATCCTGGTTCGATCAGCCACATCGGCAGAGACCGTTTTCCTCAGCCACTCCCTGATCTTCTCATGGACTTCTTGAGCCTGCTCTGGAGATGCAGTCTTGCCTGTACCAATGGCCCACACTGGTTCATAAGCAATGACTACACGAGACCAATCTGTAATCTTGTCTTAAAATACAAGAGACAATTTGTGTATGCCTTCAAGTCTGAAGGTGTAACATAGATATCATGTAACAGGATAACATAACAAAACAACCCTTGACCCATTAGGGTCGTGGAGGTGTGTAGATGCAAGCACTAGCACACAAAAATCCGCCATCTTTCTATGTCCTCCGCTTGTTGAACAACTGTACAATAACCTAGCCCTGTCAATTTCTTGATATCGTCATTCCAGTTTCTTCTTTGCCCTCCTCTTCTTCCAATGTTCCTTGCAGTACAGACTTTGCAATCGAATCATGTCTCTCCATGCGAACCAAGCTAGCTCAAGACATTTTACAACTGCCAAGAGAGCCTCCTGATGTCCTGCAAATTTGTTTATTTTGTCTCTGACATATTTGTTAGTTTTATGTTCCAAATAACTAATTCATAAAATTTGATTATCGCATTTACATTCAAAAGCCTGAATTCTCCTTTCCATTTCCACAGTGAGAGTGCAACCCTCACATGTGTAGAGATGATTAAATAATAAATCCACTGCCTATGTGTGCGTTACCATCAGCTGTTACACACTGATACATCTGCGCCACCTTAAATTCATTCCTGACAATCTTGTTGCAAAATTATCACGTTCTGTAAAGCTATATTGTTGTGGTGGTGGTCATATCTCTTGATTGCTGCCCATCTTTAACCATGTGCTTTAGTCTCACTCAAAGCTTCATGTAGGTATTTCTTAACTGCTGCAACCCTAAGATATAACTTTGCCAGGGTAATTATTATTATAGCAGAAGCACAAATATATTCCCCATAAACAAGACTGGCATGGCATCATCTAACAATGTTTAGTTTCTCCAGGTGAGATACTGTCAGCAGCCTCATATCGTATAAAAATCCCTGTAATAATTATATAATTATGTGGTATGCAGAATGGGAGAAACTCAGCCACCATGGCAGGCTAAGAAGCAGGGCATCAGACCGGACCTCCAGAGGGACCCAGGCTCCGCTGGGAAGACAACATCCAACCGTTCCTTACTGACAGAGGACAGGGATGGAATAAAGCCAGAAAGAAAACTGCTGATAGAAAAGTCATGGTTACTCTGGCAAACCTATATACTCTAAGGTAGAAGAGGAACAACTCATTATCATCATCATGTAGCAGGTCCTTTGCAGAACATTGCTCTCATCACAGTCTGCCTGTAAGAAACTCGGTTTCTTGTCAGTTCTCCCGCCTCATGCACTTTCATACTCAAGGATTCACTTATATCCTGTGCCCATCTTCGTGTCGGTCGGCCTCTGCCCCTCCTTTCTGGTACCATGCCTTCTGCTATAATTTTTTCCAATCCGTCATGGTGCTTGATATGACCAAAATATTTCAGCTTTCGAGAAACAATGCTGTTTATTAGCCAATCTTCCTTGATGTTCAGATCTTTTAAGATGTCAATATTTCTCCTCTTCTTTGTCCAAGATATTCTGAGAATCTTTCTATAGCATTTCCTTTCAGCTCAAAAGCCCCTATTCTCTTTCTTAAGGACTGATAGTCCACGACTCACATCCGTATGTAGCCACAGGGAAGATGCATGCTCTCAAAATTCTAATTATTATCTCCTTGCTGGTGCTTAACCATAGACTTTTAAGGCTGTTCAATCTTTGCATTGCTATGGCCATCCTCCTTTTAATTTCTGTCGAACAGTCTCCATTGTTGTTTATTATAGAGCCTAGATATTCAAAGTTTGTGACATTTTCAATTTCTTCATTTTTTATTGTTATTTTTGGGTGACAGCCAGTTTTATCTGTGGACATTATTTTCGTTTTCTTTAAATTCAAGAACAGATTTTGATCTTCACTGTGCTTTTGGACGGACAATATTTAATTTTCTATTCCCTTTATGCTGTTCGAAAGGAGGACTGTGTCATCTGCGTAGCGGAGTTCCGGAATAGGGTTGCCACCAATTTTGAGCGGATCATAACTGTCACAAGTCTGGTCATTTTTGACATTTCTCATTATATTTTCTGTGTATATATTGAATAGGTATGGTGCGAAAATGCACCCCTGCCTCACCCTCTCTTGCACCTCGAACCAATCAGATGTTTCACCAGCTGCTCTGATGGCTGCTTGTTGTTCATGATAGAGATTTTCAATTAATTGCACTAAACGCGCTGGAAACCCCATCCTTTTCATAATAGTCCACAGTTGGTGGTGCTGGACACAATCAAATGCCTTGCTATAATCAATAAAACAAGCATGAAGATCTACATTGTAGTCTCTGCATTTTTCAAAAATTATTCTCATATTAAATATGTGATCCCTAGTTCCTCTACCCTGTCTGCTTCATCTTGTTCATATTGTAATTTCCTTTCAATCCTTTTCATGATAATTCGTAAGAGGATTTTGCTAGCATGACTTATTAATGCGATGGTACGGTGAGGAACAACTAAGTAACTAAATAATATGTGTTCATACCCCATTATAATCACTGTAACCATACACATATCCCACTGTAACTGTATATACATCATGTAAACACTTCACTGTAACTGTGTACACATCACACTTTAACTGTATGCACACCTCACTACCTACACATCCCAGGGTAACTGTACACACCCCACTATGTACATACCAGCCAAAGCTTTCATCTGCCTGTTGATGACATCCAAGGTCTGGTTGGCTTCTCGCTCCTCCAGCTTCTCCCCAACGCAGGGAATGACTCCCAGGCCAGCTTCTAGGGCAAATTTGGTTTTCTGAGCAATGAACTGTGAAAGGAAGCACAAGTGAGGATTCACTCACAGGTAAAAATCTCAAGGTACACACTGCTGTGGGGATTTTAGGGGGTAGAACTTTACAGATACTAGGCTACAACTGTATGATGTAGCAATATCAACTTATTCTCATATGTCCAAAACTCACTGGTGGATATTTTACTGGGAAAGTTGACCCAAAGGTCATAACTGTGTGTAAGTAAATTGTTCCCCTTGTCATGTCTTTCAGGAGTATTGTGTATATGGTACTAACATGTTTTCATAGACAATCAACGGGTGATGTAGTCAACACCATACCATTCTTTCCAGAATAATTCCTGGTATCAATTTTTTTGCTAAATCGATGCGACAGTCTAGGTAAAATTCCTACACCAAGGATAATTTGAACACATGTCAACCAGGCTGCCAGGAAAGCATGACACACTGCATAACCAAGGCATATCCCAAGAGATGTGATTAAAAAAATTAATTTACATTCTGGAATTTGAACCCAGACCTCGGTACCTGTGAGCTAGAGTACATTCACTAACTACTATCACTATTATCATGTTGTGTCAGATCTCAGCTCAGCAGCACGTTCCCCGTTGCTTCAGCGAGGATGGATACTGAGTACGTTGAGCATAGAGACACTGAGATGGCTACTGCATCGGAGGACAGAGCATGAATAGGTCAGGGTCAGACCGACATGCTAGGATGCTGATACAGATAACAAGTAATAATTATCACGTAACCCTATATATGTTTCTCTTCAAGACTAGAACTTCATCTCCTGTTATTCTCTATTTTCTGTCTAGTCTCTTTTTTTACTTGCAAGTAATTAGAGGTGATTGAGAGAACACTAGTAAAATTCCTAATGACTGAGCAAGCATGCTACCTTTTGTCAGCATATTTGAAAGGTTTTGCTTCTAGATTAATGTTACTGCAACATTTCCTTGTGACAGCCTGTGTGAGTTTAATATTTGGATTGAGGATTTAAAAGCCATTAATTTACAGCTGAAGCGACAACAATAGAGGCTTGTGAGCTGAAATGCTATAGACAGATTCTCAGATTACTATGGACTAAGAAGAGAAGAAATAATTAAATTTCAAAAGATTTGAACATCAAGGAAGAATAAACAGTATCTTGTCTCGAAAGTTGAAATATTTTGGTCATACCAAGCGCCATGTTGGATCGGAAACAATAAAAGCAGCAGGCATGGTACCAGGAAGGAGGGGCAGGGGCCGACTAACACAAAGATAGGCACATGATATAAGTGACTCACTGAATATGAAAATGCATGAGACAGAAGAACTGGCAAGAGACTTGAGTTTCTTCCAGGCCGACCATAATGAGAGCGACATTCTGTAAAGGACCAGCTATATGATGAACATGAGCGACAAACAAATTTTGATTTGCACACTTGTCTAGGAATAAAGATAAAGAAAGGGGTGTTATATGTCACTTAACAATATGCCCCCCCCCCCCAAAAAAAAAAAAGCACACATGTGAATTCCCACATTCAGGGAAATCACAATGCACAAACACGATTTCTTGAAACAAGGATTTAGCAATTACCTGACTTTGCACAGTGCCAACAACAAAAACAAATCACAATGTTTTTCATATCACCATTTGAGAGATAATCTGGATGGAGGAAAAGCCACTGACGTGTCCAGGCTGGAGTTTACACTGACCAAGCTCTTCCACACTGACATGATACTAACAAAAATCACACTACTGCTTTACTGCAGTCAAGGTGATATCAAGAAGTAACTTTATATTAACAAGCTATGTATGACTATAAAGTTCAATGGAATGAAAACAAAAAATACAAACAACTGAACTTTTAGCATCTGTCCATTGATAAAGACTGATAAAAGTGTCCAGTTGTATTTGTGTGATAATTTTTTCTGTGGCTCCATTCAGCATCATAGCCATAGTCTGTGTTGTGTTTAGTTACTTCTCTCTTCATTACCAAATGGACAATTCAGAAACACAATCGTGTCTGTTAAGGAAAGGTGGGTGAAACATTTTGTCCAGTGTGATAATCTATGATGAAGACCACAAACTTTGCATGCAGTGAGACTGCAACAGAACCATAGCAAAACATACAATAGTATTTGGTATACCACAGTACTGCACTAAATGTACATGAAGATTCGGTTTGCCTGCCAAACAGGATAGAACTAAGTCTAAGACACCCTTGGTCTCCGGATTTTCCTGTCATACAACAGTTAACCGCTTGCATCGACAAGCTTCTAACAATAGATTATAGATTAAAGTAGCATCTTTTACAGAATTACATGTGTCTAAAGTAGTCAGAAGAGCTGTCAGAGTAATAAGATAATAAAAATAAAGAAATAAGAACACTAGGACTGAACCAGTCACAAAGTTTTTACAGAGCAATAGGTGAGATGGTCTGGCCACATGACAACAATGTCCTGGTACCAGTTGCCACAGAGAGCTAAGCTGAAGAAATATGATGGACACAGCGCAAAAGGATGACCACATAAAAGTTGGAACAACTATCAAGCACACAAAAGCTTAAACAACAGCATCAAGAACAGCTTAAAAAATGATCAACTTATACACACACTAGAAAGAGCAAACTCAAAATATCTTTACATCTCCACCCAACACCTCGATGAAATAACTAAAGGAAGAGAAGAAGAAAAAGAACTGTCACTTTATCACACTTACCTCATCAGTTTCTCCTATAACGTGTCTTCTCTCTGAATGTCCCGTGATGACCCATGTTCCTCCTACATCCTTGATCATGTAAGGACTGTTAAGAAAATAGCAAGATAAGAATGATGCCTGCATTTCCACCAAGTGTCTGTATTGACTAATAACTTCAGGAGCCATTATAGTACAGTTACAGTAGTAAGTATGCATAAATGTGTCAGGTGTGGTCAAGGTTCAATCACCTTTACCAAGTGATCATATATCAGAACACACACATATCTATAAACAACTTTAATATCAACTTAGGCAACATTAGAAACATTACAATTAATATTTTTACATCTCTCCCAAACACTAGAATGAGGTATTGGAGTGAAAAGAGGAGATTTATGTTTTAAATTATCAAAATGGACTATCAACACTGCACAAGTCCCTAGGTAGCCAGACTTCAGAATTTTGGCTTTGCCATTCTGCAAGGGCATGACTAGAATATGTGAAGACCAACTATAGATGCCTATGTGGGATTGCACTGAACACTGCAGCCAACCTCCAATGAGGAGACAAAAATCTTTTCTCTTACAGCGTTAAGCTTGAGGATAGCATCACTTAACCTCAGATTAGAATTTTGTCTGCTTTTTTCCAAACATCAGTTAGGCCCTATAATAGTTCATTTCTGCCAGCCAATCAAAACATAATTTCCAATTCATACACAGTTCTTACATGCCAAGTGTCGATTCAAAAGAGAGAGAAGACAAGTCTGACATCCGGACCTCCTACAGTGATAACATTTAATGTTATCCATTTTCTTATCTGGCAACCTGTTGCTCTCACTTCAGATCCTTTCAAGTGTAGGATTTGTGTTGGCAGTAGTTGTGGGCTGCATTTTAACAGGATGACCAAATCATATGATTTGATCTGACAAGTAGATTCTAGAGTCTTAATCTACCAAACATCACATTCTTAGTATTTATCCTAAGGGAGCCAGCAGGATGTAGCGGCCAGGCGATCACCTGCTGATACAAAGGTAAAGCGGCTAAGTTCTCAAACAGCCAGATTTTTTCTCATTCAAAAATGACTGTGACGCCCATGTCAACCCAGCATTACGTGGGTACCCTGTATAAAGTCATGGGAAGTAAAGGCAGCCGGCATGATGTTGACCACATCATCCACCGAATGCCAACTTGTCTATAAAATACAGGTCTAGACTTATATGTCTGAAGGGACCCGATATATAGAGTAAGTTTCAGCATCTACCCGGCACTGCAGCAAGTGAATAGTTAAGTTCTCAGTGTCTACCCAAATCACCAAGTGTATAATTAAGCTCTCCTTGTCTCCCCAACACAATCAATTTTTTAGAAACAGTTCTTAATGTATACTGCAGTGCTCATACATATAAGAGAGTTCGGCTCTCCTGTAAACTACGGCAGGTAGACAACAGTAGACGGCCGGTTAGTAAACTACGGCAGGTAGACAACAGTAGACGGCCGGTTAGTCGCAGTTCTGTCCCTTGGCTACAGTGCAAATACGGAGTGGAAAAGGCACGAATCACAACACAAAGTGACGTTGACATGGCTTGCAGATCCCGCGCTGCGACTCAAATTAGCAACCGCGTTCAATTACCGCTTCTTGCGACGCAGTACGGAGTGGACTAGAGGGAACGAAACAAGTGACATAATTACTGTGTGTTGGCGATAGACAGCGTGCAGTGCCCTACTGTCATCATACGGTTAGGGTTTGGATTAGGGTTAGGGTTTGTCCTATGAGTTTGTGCGAAGATGAGATGCGGCGACACTAACCGTAACCCTAACCCTAATCCAAACCGTAACCATATGATTATAGCAGGGCAGTGCACGCTGTCTACCGCCAACACACAGTAATTGTGTCAATTGTTTCGTTCCCCCCTTTTTCCACTCCGTAATTGCACTGTAGCCAAGGGACAGAACTCCTGACTAACTGGCCGTCTATTGTTGTCTACCGGTTGTAGTTGACAGGAGAGTCGGGAGTTTGCATATACAAGTCAAATATATTTGATTTCCTAATGTTAAAAACACATGTCAAACAAACCTAATTTCTTAATGTTAAATACATATGTCAAACAAACCTAATTTCTAAATGTTGAATACACATGTCAAACAAAACCTAATTTCTTAATGTTAAATACACATGCCAAACAAAACCTAATTTCTTAATGTTAAATACACATGTCAAACAAACCTAATTTCTAAATGTTAAATACACATGTCAAACAAAACCTAATTTCTTAATGTTAAATACACATGTCAAACAAACCTAATTTTTTAATGTTAAATACACATGTCAAACAAAACCTAATTTCTAAATGTTAAATACACATGTCAAACAAAACCTAATTTCTTAATGTTAAATACACATGTCAAACAAACCTAATTTCTAAATGTTAAATACACATGTCAAACAAACCTAATTTCTTAATGTTAAATACACATGTCAAACAAAACCTAATTTCTTAATGTTAAATACACATGTCAAACAAACCTAATTTCTTAATGTTAAATACACATGTCAAACAAACTTAATTTCTAAATGTTAAATACACATGTCAAACAAACCTAATTTCTCCAGTGAATGCACCCTCCTTCTCCTTGTAGCAATTCTGTGCAGCAACTTGAATGTTAGATGGTAGTTTCTCACGGCTGTACTGCAGGTAACAATAGGGTGGTGCCACCACAACCTCTGCAAAATAATTCTTGAAATAGAGCTTCCACTGTGGTGTTATCACTATATGACTGCTCTATTGACACAAAACAGTAGTGTTGTACACCCCACCCATAACAGGATGTATGTTAGACTCTTAGTAATAAGACTAGGTCCTAATAATAACAATAAGCTTGTACCCAATTGATTGGGTGGATCCAATGTAATATCTCAAATATCTTTAAAAGGTGAATGCAGAAGGATAGTAAGCTCTGGTATCCTCATGAATTTATTGTTACTGACAATCCTATAGGGAACTCAACAGCATTATTGTTTTCAGTCAAGGCTCTAGGACCAATTTTTTTAATTTTTACATGTCATGCATTTTAAAATGTTGTCTATCACTGTGAATAACCATTGCTCCCTGTTCTTTCATTATTTAATTATTCATTCTTCCTGTGTAGGTTCTGGGACCCCATTTGGGAAACAAATTAGACCCACTGACACTTAACAATCATGTTGTAAAAGTTGACTAATTAAGGGTGTTTCATTCCAAGTCAGAGTGCATCTGCCTGACAGTCTGTTTAAAAATAAGGCTGATCTGTAAAATAGATGTGCATGCAAAACCGTTATTTAAAGGAGAGCCCAAGATTGTTAGTTTAGAGTAGATTGTATTTCATAGAAACCAATACACCAAATTCAGAGATGCTAAAGAAATCAGGAATGAAAGAAAGTTTTTTAATTGAGAAAAGAATAAAATTGAATTATTTTGTTCATAACGCTTATAAAATCTTAAAAAACCATACTTCAGATAAACTGAAAAGCAAAAAGTAAGAGGCTTGAGAGAAAAAGGCAACAAGGGGGATGACAAGTGATGGACTAACAGGAGTTTTAGTCTGAGTGAGAGAGGTAATAATAATGATTCTAAGACAAGAGACAGTGTGTGCTAGAGATCCACTTCAGACTGACTGATTCATTGTCAAGTATTCATATAGATTTATATATACCTTTACTCACGCATAATAACAGGACATTCAACTGTTCCTGTGACATGTCTTCTATCACGTCGCCCAACTTTCGTGTAAAAAGTAAAAAGCAACTAAACATTTTTTTAAACGAATAACTTACAAACATTTATAAGTGAATTTCAAGCTAAAATAACTTACTCTGGGACCAGCAAAAAAAAAAAGAAATAATATTATATATACTTATTCTGAGTTTAGCTTTTTTGGAAAAAAAATGTACCCACCGACATTAGCAGAGATCGGTCCTTTACTCAAGAAAGCAACGATTTCGTCGATAGACTTCTTGTCTCCGTTCATTTTCCAGTTACCGCCTACAAAGAATTTTCTATCAGGCATTCTTGTGACACAGTAAAACTTTGTGTATGACAGTCGGTAAAACTGATGAACAAGTTGATGGAAACTGACCGGCTTCGAGAAAAGAGAAAGCTGACTCTTTCACAATTGACAAACCGGATGGTTTTTTTTAAAGACTTTTAGCATACGACCTTGATAACCAGACGAGAGGATAAGGTAAAGGTCAGGTCAAGGCCTAATGCACATGCAAAAGTTGGATGTGGTGAAGTTACGAAACAATATCTGCGTAGAGTAACTGATCTAGCGGTTAGAAGCTCTACTGCGGATCTGAGGGTCGTGGGTTCGATTCCTGGGAGGGTGAGGGGGCAAACATTTTTCAGAAATGATTTTGGCTTCCAGGTCGACCTTGCCTTGAGTAGGTACAATAAAGGCGGCAGGCGTGATGCTGACCACATCACCTACCAAGTGCTGTTTAGTCTATAAAATACACATCTAGCCCTATATACCAAATATGCATGAAAGGCGTGGAAAAGATATATATATATATATATATATATATATATATATATATATATATATATATATAAACAACTTGCACATTAGACGGCTGTACTGCAAGTGCCGTCTCCACAGTGAAGGTTTGCTGCAACACCCTCTGTCTTTTGTTCTGGTTGTACACTCTTTCAGACTGCTGCTCGTCCTTCTCTTGATGTTTTCCTCCCACCTGTATTGTTGCCTACCTCTTGTCTCTTGCTCTCCTGCCTTCGAACCCCCCCCCCCCCCCCCCGGAAAATCAGGAGCGACACTAGATTAGTTTGGTGTTTGATTGCTGGGGGAGTCCCTAGCCCCTGTATCGATTTGTTGTTAACGAAACGAAACTCTCCAGGTGTTTCTCTAGATGGCGCCCCTGTCTTGACAGACATTCCCTAGGTTTCCCCTATTTCAGAATACTGCTGTTGCTTGGGTGGTCCCCCCCCCCTTCGCTCTCTCTCTCTCTCTCTCTCTCTCTCTCTCTCTCTCTCTCTCTCAAGCATCTTCTCCCTTGGATAACCATCTAGTGTATACCCCTGTAGTTCTGCTTTTTCTTGTCTGCTGTGATTTCCCTATTTTACCTTTCCCTGGTAACAGACAACAGTGAATGGAAATATAATCATAAGATGTATAGTAGTTTAGTTGAATTGGTTTGTTGTATTAATTTCTTTCATTTATTACACAAATCATTACATTTTTTTTTAAGCAAAACATAATATTGTTCAGAGTTGAGGACAGTAGTCGAGAAGAGTCAAGCAGAGCAGAGCTCTGTGTTCCTCTGTGAGAAAACTGTCCTTGGGTGACGACACGGGAGGCGGTCACGGTCACTATTGAAATAAAGTAGCGATTCGACGTACGAGGAGGAATATCGTAGATGACAGTATCGGCTGTGTGCTGAGAGGACTCAGAGTTTGGAGTCCTGTCGGTAAGTGTAGAATCTATCGACGTGGCTGATTTGCTATATGCACAGTGGGAGACTAAGGATTGTAGGTTCTCAGACAGCCGAGGTAAAAGTGCCTATTAGAGTATCAGTATATCAACGGAGGTCAGCGGTGTAAGTTCATTCTTACTGCTAGCCCTGACGTGAGGGTTAGCCAACTTCAGAGGCATTGAAGCGGTGAGCTCAAAGTCTGATCGACAGCATGCTGTAATCTGTACTATGGAGCGCCGCTAGTGTGCTAGCGGGAAGAAAAAAAAAAAAGGAAAAACACAGAAGTACGGGAGATAAAGGACAATTGTGATTAGAACAAAAAGTAATAGTTCCCCGCGAAACAGCAAAAACAGGAAAGTAAAGAAAAGATAGGGGTTCTTCTGTACAGAAATCCTGGAATATTTCACTAAGACCCAGAAAAAGAATATTTGTATCGTGAGTTACATGACAACAACCTAAATACACACACCACGTGCACGGACTATAGATCTTACATTGAATCAAGCAAATGAATTATAACCTTCACATTAAACAGCTGTTTATTTTACTGAACTGAACACAGAATTAACTTTGCTTCACAAATAATACATTAACAACAATCAATGTGCTCGACTAGAATCTAAAGTGCTAATCATCTCCAGCTAACAAGGAAATATGATAATGACACCTGTTGTGTGCTATCTGAGTTACACACTAACCAGCACACTTCCAAGTGTCTAACGATGTAACTGACGCTTTCTCACTCTCGAAGCAGGACTCGACAGTAGTTCCGTCACATAGCATATTTATTTGACAGAACACAATAGGGTATACACAAGCCCTCATATCAACAAAACTGCAGAGACGTAGACATTGATCCTAATTGGCATTCGCACACAGTCCAGTTGGCCCCCACTCTCTCTCAACTTGTAGGACTAACTCTCCTATCCACTGGACCTTGATATTACTTCAGCAGACAACCACGGCTGACTGGAGACTGGACACGGACTTCCCTTGATGTTCTCCGAAGCACACAGCACATCTGCCTTACTTCCGCATACAACAACGGCTGACTAGAGACAAACTTCCCCTGCCGTTCTCCAAAACACACAGCACGTCAGCCTGTCAAAGGACTCCGATGACCGACAGAACTTCTAACACAAGTCCCCTCTAGCACACAGCTCTCGTCGGCATCCCTACTGTTCTGTTTTCGTGTTGATTCTACGTCTCCGTACGTTGTCACACAGAACAGTTACTCTTGGAGCATCCAGTCCCGTTGGACTTACTTCACCAGCGGGACTTTAACTTCGACCAAGGAGATGACCGACTGCTTTAACCAGAGCATTAAGGCAGCATCTTTTCCGCAGGATTGGGTGCACATCTATCTAATCCCACTTCCAAAACCTCGCAAGGACCATTCAAAGTTCAGCACTTTACAAAGTAAATTTGGGAAGGGCTTAGAGATGTCAAGCCGTCACGATTTTTTTTCTGGGGGGTAAATTGGAAGCATCTTCTAAGATGTTTGGGAAGCTACAGGCCAGAGAAAGATACCCGATCAAATTCAGCCACTTTTGTCTTTGATGTTTATTAAAGGTTCCAGAACAAACCGGAAACATTGGCGGCAACGCTTGGTCTCGAGGATGCGTGTAATACTGTTAGATTTGATATTTTGATGACAGCACTGAGGAAGAGTGGCATCAGTCCCTGGTTGGTGAACTGGATAGCAACTATCCTGCACTCTCGAAGGGTTGCTCTCTGTCTGAGTTCGTGGACCTCAGAGCCACGTTTTATAGCCCCAGGACCACAGCCTGGCTACGTCATCTCGCCTGTGCTCTTTAACGTGTATGCGAGCAAGATTTCAAGCCTATAAGCCACAGGGGTTGGAAGAATACTGACATTTGCAGATGATACACTCGCTTATAGGCAGGACAGAGATTTGAAACAAACAGCCCAGTTAATTCACGATAATCCTCGTCCTGATGATCTGGTTATCTACACAGATGGTTCTGTATTGAGAGGGAAAAGAAGTGCCTGAGGTTTCGTTCTGAAAACCAGTGGGAAATCTTTAGCGCAGGACAGCCTGGCATGTTAAATGTTGAAAAAAGAATCGACATCATAGAACTCAGGACACCCATAAGCCTGGCATTTGATACCACAACATCTTGCACGAGAATGTAGGTGGAGGCGGTCACTGCATCTTGCCAGTAGCTAGAGAACAAGATACATACACATTTCGTAATTGTAACGATCTCTGAAAGCATGCTGAAAAAGGTGAAGACCTGACTGCATCTAGCAGAGTGGCAAGCTTCACTTGCAAGGTCACGGGTAGTGAGCATACTTTGGATCTTTTCTCCAGGCTATGCCGGCGTGATGGACAAAGAACAGGTAGATTGGCTGGATCTGCACAGTTGGGTGGTGAATTGAAACATGGCAAGGCATATGAGGCCTTAGCTATTTGGGAACAAGTCGGAAGAGAAACTAGATTATTATGGGCTGGAAAGAATGATGCACCTGGGTGTGACCAGAGGGTTCGGTCGGCACACTACGCTCAGGTGAAAGGCAAGACTGACATGCAACCAGACTACGACCGGCACCATTAGTATTGGAACTCTGCGCTGCTGCTAAGAAGGCAAACGCTACGCTGAGGAATGCCCCGAGTGATGTGATGTTAATTTTTGACTCAACTCAACTCAGCAGCCATGGAGCTATAAGTGACAGTAGGCAAAGTGACTGACTGGTATACTTTAATTGGCTCTGTCGTCCACCCAGAAAAGGCGCCTGTTTTTGGTGTTCTCTATACAAGATTTACACAAGATGTCCTGTCTCACGATAAATGGTAGAAACGTCAAAAAAGAAAGCAAACTGGAGTATCTAGGAATCACATTTGACAGAAGCCTGTCCCTCAGTGACTGTGGAGATGGTTGTGACAAGATTCCAAAAGGTACTTAGAAGAAAATAGTGCCAAATATGTATTTAAGGAAACTGAGCTGCTTACTGGACCATGTGTGTGGTAAACATATGAAACCCCGGCACAAAAATGTTCGAAGTGTTATCGAAGCACAGGAACTGAAAACGTCAACTGTTTTTCCATTGCCTACGCAGCTATCTGAAGGTTTGACACCTCTTTTGTTTTGAATAGTTCCAGTCTAAATGGCAATCCAACAAGATAATTACCAGATACCCTCTTCAACCTCCTAAAAAGTTACAACCAGGAAAAACGTCTACACCAGGCAATTAGGCATGTGTCGTCTACTGCCTCAGATAGATTGGGATTTATGAATAATTCCTTCCGTGTTTCCTGTCCGCGCTGCTATCTGTAGGTTTCACCACCCTGAGATTAAAAATCTGAATTCGGAGGAAAGCCAACAAGGCAAGCTAGAGAAATTCCGTTGAACCTCTAAAGAAGTTAGAATAGGAACACCCGCAGCCACACCAGCCAGGTCTCGCTAGCAGTCATTTGTGGATAAGGATTTCAATGTTCTTCTTGTATAATAACGGCCATACTCTATTCTCTAGAACTGAAAACTGAAAAATTAAAGCCCAATGATTCAGAAAGACATTCGGATGAGAATCCGACAGGAGAAAATCCACGAAACCCAGCTTAATCGTATAACACAATTAAAGTAGGGCACCCCACACTTACACCTGTAGGCCAATTCTTCTTCTTCTTAAACTCCATACAGTGTGGCACTGGTAATCATGTCTACGCACAACCTTCTATCTCGTGTGATTTCAATCAATTCTGACACAGATGAGCCTCCATGCCATGATGTCAAACTATTCAGCATCTTTGTCCACGGTCTCGCTCTGCCTCTCTTATCATCCAACTTTACTACTGTCATGATGTACTCAAGTTTTCTTCTTCTCGTCAGTGACCAAAGATGGTCGATTGTCTTTTTTTCTGGTGTCGGCAATCAGTTCGTTTCCTGAGTTAGTTTCTTTCAAAACATCTTCATTACTCATTCTGTCTATCCAAAAGTGTTCTCATCATTCGTCTATAAAACCACATCTCTGCGGCTTCCAAATACATTTTTACGAATCCCCCAGCTGTCCATGATTAATTTCTGTATATTAGGATGGGATCTATATAGATTCTAAGAATTATCGTTCTCGTCTCAAATGACGAAGAAAGATTGCATATAATAGTTTTGTAAATTTCTGTCTGTGCTTGAACTCGTCTACATTTCATTTCGTTAATACTGCTTCCACCTACTGTTATTAGAGTATCCAAGTGCTTGAACATGTCAACTTGCTTGAGGTTGGTCCCATTTTTTTTTTTTTTTTGGATGTGCACTTCGGAATGTCAGTTTTCTTTGTGATTACCATTACTTCTTTTTTTTTTCTGTTGTTCAAACTAAGACCTTTGTCGTCCAGTTGGGATGGGACACACACACACTCGCGTGTGCACCATACAAAACATGCATAATTATCAAATCCAAGGGTAAAATTTGACGACTAGCAATTATAAGTATAACCGGAAAACTTGCCTAGCGCTGTTGAAGGAAAGAGGGCCTTAATCTAAACAAACTTTTAAAAAATCAAATAAAGCCTATATTATCAAATGTAACATGCATCTTTCGTTTAGTTTTACTTTTGATCACGTTTGTAGACGTGCAACTGAAATAAATTTATCTGAATCTCTAATTAATTTTTTTAAGAGTTGTTTGCCTTCACACTGTTCTCCTTGCTATCTGGAGTTTTGTACATTCCCTCACATATTTGAGACACAATCCACTATCATGATTATTTTTAAACTTTATAACGAATACAAATACAATGTAGATGGTTGCATCAATATTTATTATTATTATAGATGATAAAACATGCATCTATTTACGACAGCAAGAAACCTCTACAGGCACATCTAATAGGTAAGTAAGAATTCCATTAAGTACCAGACCTCTACTCAGACGTAGATAGACGTCGTTTGCGGTTTATTGCCGCATGTCAGCGAGACCCACATTGCTGAAGTAATTCATGCACAGGGCAACCTTGGCACTTGGAACAACGATGAAGCCGAAGGAGTGAGCTTCCACGGTGACGTCCCCTTTGTGAGAGAGAGGTTTGATGGTCGGCAGATCATCGCCGGACATCTCCAGGACGTCTCCATTTAGTTTGACAGAGCTGGCAGAGAAATATGTTTTGTTTTAATGCAAGTAACATATCAACAGAAGGCACACACAAATACTACGAAACACACGCGCACAGGAATTATTCATATACATACATACAAACATACATTTGAGCAGACTTCTTTATAGAAGCAAGGAGTCTACCTGGATGTCAGTTTTTTCCTGTCTCCTGAAGTGAGCAAGTACAGATCGAGGTCAGCATTCTGGTACTGGGGCAGTGATATCACAGCGTCCGTGTCTGCCAGGTTCACAAAGTACACCACTAGGGCGCCAGAGGGATATCTGAAATTGGAGTAAATTCCACGTAAATTAGGTTATCATGTGTCTATACAGAAAAAAATATCTCCTGCCTGTACTTTGTTTGTACATTTTCAGTCAACTGATAACTTCTCCCAAAAGTGACCATTAAACGGGTTAAACTTTCAGATCTCATTCTGGCTGATACTTTCAATTTAACAGTGATATTGGTGACTATATCTGTGTGCATTTCTTTTAAATAATGCAACAATCACTAATAGATTTACATTTAGCTGGGGTTATATCCCTTTCAATATTTTTTTCTTACAGCTCTCGGGACGAAAAACCATGTCTATCCGCATATAAAACAGACAATACATAATACATGTGTATGCATGCAAAATTGTTAAATATTCCTGTCAGTATAAGTGGGGGCAGTAAGAGCATTGAATGCCTTTAGGGACAATGGCTAAACATACAGAAGCAGTGGAGACAAAGATAAAGTAGAAGATGGGAGATTAATTACATGTTTTTGAATAGATCCCTTCTAAATATATGCTGAAAAATATTATATTAAATGCAGTGTGGGATGAGACCTGTGCAGCTTCGAACCACTTACAATTAGGAGCAAACCTTCCTCATAACTCAGATATGCAGATTTGGTTAGAACAGTGTTGCACACTGTGAAAGTTACCATCTTAATGGAGGTGCGGGTGGCAGTGGAAGGGGTGGTAATTTCATCGGTCATATTTGGGGAGGCTGTGTGGAGGGTGTGTGGAGGGGGTAGGAGGAGGGGGGTAGGAGGGGGGGGGGAGGAAACTCTAGAGTACGAATGGTAACACCGAGCCACGACCGTGGGTGGGCTGACAAAAGCCCCATATAACCGACAGCCTACATACAAATAAGATCTGTAAATTGAATGATGAAACAAAACTCAAGTTCTGAAACAAGGCCAAAGACCAGAAGGAAACAAATACCATAACTTCATTCCAGTTTACATCCGGTGTACGTAAAGTAGAAGAATCTACCCTCATACTTGCCTGGGATAAGAGCCGCTTTGTTGTTTGTAGTTTGTCCCCTCCAGGATTGTAGTCGGCAGGATCAATACATCAGCATGAAACTGCTACATGTAAGTACATCTCACTGACATGGTTGGCGGGAGTCCCTGTGGCGGAGTGGCTAGACACTCGCCGCGGATCGGAAGGTCGTGGGTTCGTTCCGTGGAGGAGCAGGACTTGTTTCAAAAATGACCTTGGCTCCCAGGTCGAC